AATAGTAATAATAGGGTTTTTTTTTTCAATGTGGACCTAGGCCCACACTGGTGCTAATAAAGTTCCGCCCCTTATTAACTATATATATTTATGTTATATTATATATAATTACAATTTTCTCATTAATATTATACAATATATAAATATTTTATTTCGTATATTTTTTAATAAAAATATTTTTTTACTATAATAATACATATTAATAGATAGATGAGTAATGGTAATATATCGATATGATTTATTGATAAAAAAATTAATTAATTTCAATGTATAGACATATCATAATTTTCGAGATATTTTTAATTAATTTGTTGATAATCATATAATAAAAATTAAATCATGTTACTCAAGTGGTATCTCATTCAATGTGAAGACAAATGGATTGAGTTTTAGTATGTATTACGAATTTCATAAAATTGTTGTAATCTTATTTTAAGCAAAGAAAGTGGGTAGATTATAAGTTTATTTTGCAAAACAATCATTCAACAATTAATTTCTGATACTATTACACATTTTATACTTAAATTGAGCAAGTGAAGAGGTACAATATTCATGATATGACTATTTATACTAATCCTAATACAACCATAGTTTTCAAATGCAGAATGACCACTTTATACTAACTCTATTATAAGTAAAGTGGTTAAGTACATAACAACTTTTGCCTAATACCAATAGTAAAATGTAAAATTATAAAAGATTTAATATTGTTAATAATTCATAACTTGTAATTTTGGCGTGCATTAACTTTTGACATGGTAAATTCTTAAGCATTAAAAGTAGAAGGAAAATCGAAAGCTAAACCAAACTTAGTTGATTTTTCAAGTTTAATAATAAAAAAGACTGAGGCATGCAATGGTAACTTAGTTGATCTTTCAAGTTTAATACTACAATTTATAACTTTATTCTTACGGAAAGCCAAACTGTTCACTAAAGTCAATGGTTGAAAGTTTAGATGATTTTTCAAGTATAATGATAGAGTTTTGAACTTTATTCTTATAGAAAACCAAGCGTGAGCAATTCTTGGTGATTTTTATTAGTCTAACTTATGCCCTCGTTCTATCAAAACAATGTAATAAAAGTCTATAATAATTCAAAACTATATGATTTACAAATTAATCAGCACTAGCTAATTAATGACAAATTAAGCCAAGAAAAACACATTAGAGCACATGTATATAAAACATGTTGCAGTTTACATTACTTATAACAACATCCACTTAATTTCTTTTGTGATTTCTTGCATTCTTTTCTCGTCCACAAACCATGAGGTGCAATCTCTTGAACATCAATGCTAAAAGATGAAGAACTATGGCTCCTTAACTCCAGATTTTTCAAGTCATTCGACTGATTTTCAAGCTTCGACTTGAGCTGGCAAACAGCAGCAGCAATAGCAGAAGCTGGAAATGCCGCATTTTGCGATATTTGCACCAGCGATTTAGACGACAACTTCTCATAATTCAAAACCGAACACATTCTCATTTTCTCTTCTTCACTTACAAATTCATGAACCTGTCCACAAAACCAAGACTCAATATATTTTTGAAACCCTTGAAATTTGATTTATGTAGTTTAAAGAAGAATAAAATATAACTCCAAAAAAAAAAAAAAAACTTAAAATATACCTTAAAATACATGTCTAAAGCGTCGAAAATTTTGTCATGAGTCTCCCTAGACGAGTCGGGTAGGCACAAAGCTAACCCCAAAAACGTGCACGGCTTGAGCTCTCGATCGGGCGCCACCTCAGCAAGATACGAATCTACCAATTCGCCCACTTTCGTCAAACAACCCCTCGCGAAAATCTTTTTCCCATTTTGTCCAACGAACACTCTCAAAAGCCTCGAGACCAAACTCACGTCAAACGCACAAGAAACTCGTTTATTAGTCGGGCGACGAGCACGAACCAACAAATCATCTAAAGTAGCTTCATCGAGTCGACACCCGATCATCCTCTCCACCTTCTTCACCCAAAATCTCTCCATTTTCAATACAAAGCAAAGCCGAAGCACGTCACAAAGCCCTCTAAACGGAAAACCCGAGCTCCCCCCATCGAGCGAGCTGAGCGACGTCACCAAAATCTCGACAATCTTACACTTCTCATCTCTCTCCAAGAGAGAAGCGAATTTGACGAATTTGACCTTGCGATAGTGCGCGAGGAATGAGCAAACGAGCCGATCTTCCAACTTGCGCGAAATCATCGCGCTCGTGACCTTCTCGAACATTCCCACATTCAAAAACTCGAGATCTCTCAACCAATTAAATCTTCGAAAATTGCTCGACCTGCTAATACTGCTGCTGCTGCTGCTGCTGACCATAGAATTATCCGAGCCGAAAAAGTACGAGAAGGGGCTCGAGACGTTGGGCATCGAGATCTTCTCGACGAGGGCTTCGAGGATTTCGCCAGCAACGTACGTCGATGAGTTCGTGAAGTGTACGAGTTTCTGAAACTGCTTGAGGCAGTCGAGAAGCTCGAACCACGTCCAGGAATGGATGGTTTGGAGGTATTTCTCGGTTTGGTTCTCGCTGATCTCGAGGAACCGGGCCGCGGCGTGGAGGAGGACGACGTTGGAAGGTAAAATGACGATTTTGCCCCCATTGTAGCAGAATCGGACAATCAGTTCGAAACCTTCGGGCCCGCCGGGGAAGCCGTGGAGTAGAAGCTTGAACCCGGTTTTCTTGGCGGTTGTTGAGTCGCCCAAAAGTCGCCGGAGTTTGCCAGAGAAAAACGCGACGAGTTTCTGCATGCACCAAAATATATTGAAAAAAAAAATAGAATTAAAATTGGAGCTTTAATTTAAGTGAATTGTGAAATGATATTATGATTAATGTAAATTTACGAGGCAGATAGAGAAAGTCTCTTGGCCATTGACTTCTACTTCAAGATTGGTGAACATGGTTTAGCGAACATGTGAAATAGTATTATGTAAGTGACAAAATGAAGGAGAAGGATAATGATCTCTTTTGTTTGATCTAACAACAGTATGTATGACTATATGTGTGCAAGCTAAGAAGACGAGTGAACGTGAAAAATAATTGACAATTGAATATAAAAAAGGAGTTTGAAATTTGTTTAATTAGTCAATGAGAGATTGAGTAGCCATCATAAACGCATGCATTATTAAGAATTTAGTCCAAGCTTCAACCTACGTTAAAGAATGGGTTAAAAGTTATAAACTTAGTATTGTATGTCGTAGGAATTAATAATTACCTATCACGCTTCTTGACAACTTACTATNAAGAAACTTGCATAAACAATTTAAAAAAAAAAAATAGAGTAAGTTTTGTTATTGAAATTAAGGTCTAAAATTATATAAGATGGATATGTTAGAAATTATGGAATACAATCTGAATTACCGAACTAAAGGATTTCATTCTTTTACAATATATAAAAGTTGAGGTTAGATAAGGACTTATTCCGCACGACGAATTTGGCTTGTGTTTTAAGTATTTTTAGACTTCTTGTCCCCAAAGACAATATATAATTTTACGCCTCCTTAGCACACCAGCGATTGACCTATGAATAGAGGAAAATAAATAAATAAATAACGGGAAACAAACAAAGTAGAGACATACGTATGACTGAAGCTTTGAGTGCAGATATGTTGTACTGAGTTTTGTAGAGAAAAATGCAATTTTAATCTAGTAACTTAGGTTGTTTTCTACTTTAGTCTAGTAACTTGGGCCGATCCAAAATGTAGTTAAATTAGTCCAATTCCGGTCCCCATCGCCGGAATCCGAATTGCCAACTCAGCACATTCCGATCGGATTCCGGCGACGGGGACCGGAATTGGACTAATTTAACTACATTTTAAAAGTTTTTGGATCAATTTTGGATCGGTCTAAGTTACTGGACTAAAGTGAGAAACACCCTAAGTTACTGGACTAAAATTGCAATTTTCTCGAGTTTTGTACAACTCTGACTAACTAGTATTTATACAACTTATGGAATAAGTGTTCAATCAGACACAAACCTACATTAGCTCCAGGGGCATCAACGCCCCTTAATTTTTGAATATTTTCTTTAGTATGTGTATATATATATTAGGTGCATGGTAGGCCCACGACTTTTTTGTTGGTAATCTTTTTATTTACTTTTTTTATTTATATTCTTATTTTATTTTTTGCATTAACATTAGTTTACAATTTATATATCTATCTGAATACATATTCAAATTTATTAATTAATAACAATACATCACTGGAAACTTGAAGGAAATATTAAACAACTTGAATCAAAATATCAATTATTTATTTTAAACTGCAATGAATATTGTATGCTAAATGCAAAATATGTTTTGCCTAACATATCAGTATACTAAATTTCTCATCTGCACTGAGCACTATTCTCTAATTACATGCATTCAGAGAATTAAAATTTCATTGACTTTTATGTGAAGTACAATGTTTGATGTATAAAGAAAAGCAGAACATCTTACTAAGCTCTAATAATATTTTTTTACTTAGTGTTAAAGCACAAATAATTGTAGAATTTATGAGCTCATAGTATTGGAGCACCTTACACATAACAAAAGTGGCAGTTCGTGACCGCAAATACTTAGGTGTGCCAGGGCGCACGGTAGTAGCACTGGTTCATGGCCCAAAACTAATCTCTCTCTCTCTCTCTCTCTCTCTCTTTAAAAAACAGGATCTTTCAATAAAATGATGAAGGTAAAGCAACACCACTAACTGCATTTCTACATCTTCTAGTGTTCTCAACTCATGTAAAGATTCATTCATTAAATGGACTTCTGCAAAATGAATCTCCAAAAGCCTCTATCATTTAATTCTTTCTATAGAATGAACTTGTTAGAAAATCAACTTATCCACAACTTTATTCTTAAATTATCACCAAACATTAATTATATTTTCAAATGGACTTTTCCATCCAAAAATTAAGACAAAACATGGTTTAGAAATTAATAATAATTATAACATATTACAAACATTAATAAACACATATATGCACACTATATTAAGCCAAAACATGGTTTAGAAATTAATGATAAGCACCCAAGTAATGGGAGCATTTGCAAACTCAAAACAAAAATAAAAGTATTAGTCAGCTTCATGCTTGGAAAAAATTAAGATGAGTAGTTTCTTTTCCAGCATAAGGTTTTGGATCATCTCCTCCACAGGTTTGCAAATGCACCCAAAAACTCGACCAACTTCAACTTATATGGTAAAGAAGAAACATTATAGAATCAGCAATGAAAGAGAAAAGAGTGATAATAGCATATGTGGCACCACATATCGATAGAAAACAACCATAGTTCGTAGTTTATTATTAGTTAGAGAAATTCAGCACTCACAATTTATTGAGTAAAAAAATGTGCAACTGATCTTCAACATATCATGTAGAGATGTTACAAAAGATCAAAACAAAACACATTTAAATTTTGAAATCCATTGAGAGGGTTCTTATTTCTTGTTGCTTGTGCTTTTACCTCCAGCATCATTACCCCCTGTTGCCTGTGCTGCCTTCTTTGCTGCTTTTTCTTGAAGTGCCTTTGCATCCCTATGTAATAACAGAGACATGTGTTGTCAAGACATAACCAAAACCATATCAAAGTCCTTAAAAACAAATGTACATCATTACAAGATACATCAAAACTGATAAAATACAACAATGTCCATTAAAAACCGCATTTGAAGAAGTTTGTGAAACCATAGAGAATAAAATGAGAAACTAACAATTAAATTTCTGAATGATTACTTCTATAAAAAGTGAACTAATGAAAGATAAGTGAAACTGTTAAATAAAATTAACAGTTTACTATCTGAAAGAAAAAAATACATTGTAAGTTAACAATTAATTTGACATAATACATAGATAAATTTAGAGGCAAGAAACAAAAATTTGGGATATCATAGCATCCCTACAATGCATCAAGTTGGGGAGAATAAATATGTGGATTCCAACAAGATATACCCAAAGATTATAGCTGATTCTACTAGAAGTTGCAGCTCATTTTAGTAAAAGAGCCAATAAGAAAACCGTTGCACGTCAAATTGCAACAATCGTAATCAAATATGCCTGGATGATTAGAACATGGATCTACAAACTTAATTACTCATTGGAAATATGCTAATATGATTCCAACCAGTTCAATTCACACGCACCCCCAAGGATTCCTTCCTCTATTCCCTAATTCTATCCTGACGAGCAATTTGCAAACCAATGCATAGAAAACAAAACAAACAAGATCTGAAACAAAGATAGATGCTTGGGGTACAAAACTCCAGTATAGCTTAATTAACAAAGCCCACCAAGCATAAACTAGAATCAATTAGTTACTAAAGCAAACTCCTTTCTCATTTTCAGTTTTCTGGACAACTTAGTAAAGAAACAAAATCACAAAAATCAGATGTCCAAAGAAAAAGACGAATCTCGCAAATCTGGACATAACCAAGAAACGAAATACTAATAAAATAAAAAATACAGGGGTTACCTTTCTCGGCGCTGTTCAGGAGTCAAGCCGTCATCTTTACCCTTACCTTTGGCACCGCTCCGTGCCTGAGCCCTTTCTCTATCACGATCCCTTTGATTTCCGCGTATTTCCGGTTAAGGAAAAGTCAATTTTAAACGAAACAAAAACGAAAACTGAACATTATTGTTGTTCGCCATTAAAACATCCAACGAGAACAGAACTACAATTATTCAAATCTACGGATCTAGTAAGACGAATAAATTCAAAAACAAGTTAGGGGAGTTAAAGATCTGAAAAGCACAGTAGTCGTCGATGCAAAGAAAACGCAATTCAAAGCATTAAAGATGCTGAATTTAGATAATCGAAAGAGGATATGAGTCATGGTGAGACGACGTTAGGAGAGAGGAGCCGACGAGAAGAAAGTCTGTGGCGACGGTAAGCGAAATTCAGAGACCCACTAAAATTGCGGGACGGCTTCTTACAATTTCTTTCTTTATATTCAGTTATTAATAGGAAATTACCAATGCTTCCAATTTTTTTTTATTTTATTTTATTTTTTTTTTTGTCTCTGCTCTTGGCATCAAACGTTGACTATTTTCAAATTTAAGCACGTTCGTGGGATGCACGTAAATAACAACAATAATCAATAAATAACCTAAAAATTAAATGAGTGAGTTAATATTGGCTCATTGTCTAACTAGTACAATACCCGTGTATTACACGGATGTTGAATTAGAAAGCTTTTTGTAAAAAATATAACTTTTTTTATTTTTTTTAAAAACTAAAATAATTTAATTTTATATAAAACATTACTTTGGGTTTTAATGAAATTGTGAAATTATATTTTTATTAATCATATTAATTAAACATTCGTACATTAAATGAAAATGTCAACCCGTGTTGAATTTTTTTACTTATAACATATAAAAATATTGATATTATTTACTATTATATAAGTAGATATATCTTAAATAAATAGAAATAATATGATGATATATATATGCATAAGTGTAGAATATGTTTGTTTAATATTAAACAAAATAGATTAATTTTTTTATTAAATTAGATGCCTAATACATCAAGTGTCGTATCAGTCGTGCAACTTTATATGTAATTTTAGAATTTATATAAATAATTATTTTTTTTTAATTACATTGACAACATACCAATAAGGTTTGAAATAGATATCAGTTTTATTTATCGTTTGATAAAATACAAACGGACTTCATAATATCAATTCAAATATAACACAATAATTAAGATTTTTTTTCTTGACAATATTAATCCTATTTAATGGATGTCATGGGAAACGATGG